GGTGCCTTATCGAAAAACTTTTCCAAAAAAAAAAAAAAAAAAAAAAAAAGATTCAAACCAAGGTAAACCATGTGGCAACCAGCAATTTTTATTTTGTGAGAGATTTTTGCTATAGGGTGGGTATGCTCACTAGAGAGACAGAAAGCAAACTGGCCATGCCGTGGTCCCTTCTACTCTCAGCACCTTGGACACACACACACACACACACACACACACACACACACGAGTGAATCTTAAGCCACCAGGTCCAGGACCTGAACTGTGGCCGGTCATGTGGGAGTCCAGCAGCATTACCATTACCCACCCACTGGTCCCAGCAACCAGTTCTCTTAACCACTAGGCTGGTATTTAAAAATCAAAATAGCTGGTATTTAAAAATCAAAAGCTGATTCTCTGAAAGGTCCGATGAAAGACAGACAGACAGGAAACCCTGGGGCCCAAAGATGGAGAAGAGTAGAATGCGAGTAGCCCTGCGAAGTTGGCCCGGGAAGGTTCGGGGTCCTGTCCGCAGACCTGCCAGAGCACACCGGGCGAGCCTGCCGGTGACCCAGGACTGACTGGGCAGCAGCCCAGGCGGGGTGCCGTCTCCGTACCTCTGCCTCTCTCACAAACAAATAAAACCAAAAGCTTCGGGCAGTCCTGACCGAGAAAGGAAAGAAAGGACAGGGGGTGGCGGTGAGAAAAGGCCGGTGACCCCGGAGACGGGACTCAATTATGAGCGAACACTATACGTAGTTTTAGCAATAAATGCCAAATTCCTGATGAAACAGACAATTTAAGAAAATGTAAATAACCCCAGTTGGGTCAAGAAATACACAGAATGGAAGAGCAACTCCACCCCGAGAACGGCTCGCAGCGGGCAGGTGTGGCGGGAGCAGGCGCAGCAGTTGGCACGGGCCTGCCCTGCACACGCACCCTGACGAGCCTGCTCCCTGCTCTCAGGCCCTCGGCGGCAGTCCTGCCTCCTCAGCTTCCTGGGGGAGGAGGCTGGAGATCACAGGTACTATCTGTGCTTTCCCGAAATGCCAGCCCTGCCTGCGTTCCCCACACCGATGTCACGAAGGTAGGACGACTGCAGGGACAGGCAGTGTTAGTCACCGAGGGAAAGCGGGGTTC